TTCATTTTTCAGTTTTTGATTTTGCGTTTAAATGAATCATGGAAAAAAAAAGGATAACGGACTTTTCCCGTTTACATGACTTAAACTGTGATGCCAGACTTTTGCACTGCATACGGACTGAACCAGGACTGAACCAGGTCCGACCAGACCGGAACCAGACCGGGACTGAGACCAGGACTTAGACCGGGACCAGACCAGGACTGAGACCGGGAACAGGACTGGGACTGAGACTGGGACCAGACCAGAACTGAGACCAGGACTGAGACTGGGAATAGGACCGGGACTCAGACCGGGACCAGAGACCAGGACCAGACCAGGATCAGACGAGGACTGAGACTGGGACCAGACTAGGACTGAAAACGGTTTAGTCCTGGTTCAGTTCGTATGCAACACAGAGGTCCGGCATCTCAGTTTAAGTCACGGAAACAGGAAAAGGACGTTTTTTCCATTATTGATTTAAACACAAAATCAAAAAAATGAAAAAATGAATGTTTTCATATTGGGTTTTGGAGACAAATAATGAAGAAAACAGTTATTTTTAAGTTTTCTTATTTTTGTTTTATATTGAAAAATGAATGAATGAATGATACACAGATTTCAATAAACCAATAATTTGGATAAAGCAGAACTGGGATGGGAGACAGTGAGAACACCACCTGCCACAGGGGGGCGCCTGTCACAAAAACTGTTGTTGTGTCCTTAGGCAAGACACTTCATCCACTTTGCCAAGTATAAGTGGTGTGTGCATCCTCACTTTGGTCAGTCTGTCCCAGGGCGGCTGTGGCTACAATAGTAGTTTACCACCACTGAGTGTGGATAAAATAATGAACTGTAAAGTGTCTTTGAGTGTCTTGAAAGGCGCTACATAAATGCAATGATTAATTAATTAATTAAAAATAAAAGGAGCTGTTCACTTGAAAACTACCACTTCATGACATCACAAGGTGGAACAGAGCATTTTGAGCTTTGGAGATGTAGACAGACTAAAAATAAAGGATTATTCCAACATGTATGAATGAAACAAAACACAACCCTCTCTCTCTCTTCCTCTCCCCTCTCTCGCTGCCTCTCATCACCCCTTTTCTCTCTCTTACTCTCCCCCTCTCTGTCTCTCTTTTCTCTCTCTCCCTCCCTCTTTCTATCTCTACCTCTTTCACCCCCTCCCTCTCTCTCTTCCTCTCACTCATCCTCCCTTTCGTTCTCTCCCTTTTCTCTCTCTCTACCTCCCTCTTTCTCTCTATCGCCCCCTCTTCCTCTCCCTCTCTCTCTCCTCTCTCTCTCCCTTCTCTCTCTTCTCCCCCTCTCTGTCTCTCTCTCTCTCCCTCCCTCTTTCTCTCTATCACCCCCTCTTTCTTTCTCCCCCCCTCCCTCTCCCTCTCTTTCTCTCTCACTCTCCCTTCTCTCTCTTCTCCCTCCCTCTTTCTCTCTCTCTCTCCCAGCTCTCTCTCGCTCTCCCTTTTCTCTCTCTCTCTTCGCCTTCCCTCTTTCTCTCTCTCCCTCACCTCTCTCCCTCTTGCTCTCCCTTTTCTCTCTCTCTCTCTCTCTCTTCTCCCTTCCTCTTTTCCTCCCTCTCCCTTTTCTCTCTCTCTCCCTCTCTGTCTCGTCCGTCCTTTTTCTCTCTCTACCTCTTTCAGCCCTCCCTTTCTTGCTCCCTCCCTCTTTCACCCTCTTTCTCTCTCTTGCTTCCTCCTTCCCTCTTTCTCTCTCCCCCTCCCTCGCCCTTTCTCTCTCTACCTCTTTCAGCCCCTCCCTCTCTCACTCCCTTCTCTTTCTCTCTCTACCTTTCTCTCTCTCGTTCTCTCTTTCCCTTTCCCCCCTTCTCTTTCTTTCTTTTTTTCTTTCTCTTTCTATGTTGGGTCAAAGAAAGGCCTGATCTCACACTGAACTGCACACTCGCCTCCTGGGACCCACTCCTCCTCCTCCTCCTCCGTCTCTCTCTCTCTCTCTCTCTTCATTTGATCATTTCCACTGCTTTAAATCTTTACATCCTGGTTCTTCATTTCTACATGTTCCCTCCTTTGCTCACTGTAATGTTTTTGATCATCGTATCTGACATTTTCTAAACCTCGATCACCTTTTCTGACGCCTGAAGGGAGTTTTATCTTCTAACTGCTTTTATTAGCGCTGCAGTGAAATTACATTAAACCTGATTTATTGCTATAGATTTGCGCAAAATGTGTCTTTGCCTAGTTCAGATCTTTAGTATGAGCGACTCTTGAGGTCACAGTAAGTCTGCTGTGCGCTGTCTGCCTGTAATTATCAAGCACTTTATTGTCTGATAATTAGTATAAGTGTGTTTGCATGCTAGTTGTCTCAGTAATTTGAGAAAAGCGCTCAAAAACCCAACGTGGTGAATAAGTATTGTATTTTTCAGATTATAAGTCGCTCCGGAGTATAAGTTGCACCAGCCAAAAATGTGTAATGAAGAAGAAAAAAACATATTTCAGTTGCACTTTTTGGGGAAATTTATTTTATGAAATCAGAGACCGACATTTTATTTTGAAAGTCAAGTTCTAGTAAAAACAATAGAACAGAGAACAACAGACTGTTAACGTCACATATGAACAGTTCTTCAGATAAACTATAACATAAACAACAGAACAGAACAAGTTTACCAAACTCTCCATCTCACTCCAAATCACTAAATCTGTTCAATTCTTCATCCTCGGTGTCACTTCTGAGCAACTCCACGACCTCCGGAGGTAAACAGAGCGCCGCTTCCTCTTCTGTGTCGCTGTCGTCAGACTCAGCATCAGTTCCATTTAGAATTATTCCGGCCTTTCTGAATCCCGACAGGATGGTTTCGGTGTCACTGAAGTCCAGACTTTGTTGATTCATCCAGTGACTTCCAGGAAAGTTTCATGATGCATCCTCCCGGTGTCACAAGTTTCTCACTGACTTCATACTTTCTTTCTGCTGCTCGATTACTGTTTTCAGCTGCAGATTTCACTACTTGCAATTTGTAATCTGCAAAATAAGATTTTCTTTTTGGGGACATTTGTGTTCAGTCTTCTCAGTGTCTTTATAAGTTTGTTTAAATGTGGTGCAGAAGTAATGGTGCGATCGACTGACATGATACAGACAGGACAAAGACTCTTTCTGCAGGAGACATGCGCAGTAGAGCCAAGTGACAGTGGTACAGGAGCAGATACTGACACACAAGACTAGAGCGCCCTTTTGCCGCTGTCACTGTGAACATTTTAATATATAAATCGCACCGGAGTATAAGTCACAGGAAACCCAAACTATGAAAAACACTGCGACTTAACATCCGAAAAGTACGGTAGGATGCTCAGGATGTATAAAGTTTAATTATTCAAAAAACATCACATTGACGTCCTCAAACCTGAACTTGAAGAATATTTTGTTTTTCCTTCCTTTTGGTTTTCATGAATATTCATAAACTGAAGGTGTTTGCAGATTTATGCGTGTTCTGTCTCTTCTGTGAACATCAGGGACAAACTGCTCAAGACTTTTTGTGTTTTTTTTTAATTTATTTTATTTTTTACCTCTCTGCACATCTCCTCACACATCATAACATTAAGAAACTCGTTTCATCACACCTGATTTGTACTTCCTGTTTTTTTTCTCCATTTGAGTTTTACCTTCCAAGTAATGCTAACAACAACTAGAATGCTAACAGTGCACTTCCTGATTATTAGACCCCCCCCCCAAAAAAATTAATTAGATACAAATATTACATCGCAAAAGCTGCTTGTACAATACATCTGTAGTGGAGTAAGACTAATTTTGCTTAAATACACCAGTTGTGTCAAAACTGCTTTTTTGTGTTTGTATTTGTGGGTTTTATTTTTAATTTAATTTATTTTTATTTTTTTTTTACCTCTCTGCACATCTTCTCACGCATCCTAACAATTATGAAACTGTTTCATCAGGCCTAATTTGTACTTCCTGTGTTTCTATTTTAGAGTTTTAGCTTCACAGTAAGGCTACCAACAACTAGCATTCTAACAGTGCACTTCCTTAGTTATCAGACAAAAATAAAAAAATAAAGAATCTGTAATGGGGTAAGATAAATTTTGCTTAAATAAAATTGTGTCAAAATAGTTTGGGATTTTTTTGGTTTTTAAATTTTTTAAATTTTTAATTTTTATTTCTCAAATTTTGCTTAAATACACCAATTGTGTCAATTTTTTTTTTTTTTTAGATTTTTTTATTAGTATTGTATTTATTATTATTATATTATTTATTTATTTATTTATTTTTACCTTTGCACGTTTCATCACATCTGATTTTATACTTCATGTGTTTCCATTTTAGAGTTTTATCTTCACAGTAAGGCTACCAACAACTAGCATTCTAACAGTGCACTTCCTGATTATCAGACAAAAATAAGAAATACAAAAAAATCTGTATTAAGATAAAACAAATTTTGCTTAAATACACCACGTGTGTCCAAAACAGCTGAATACTTTTTGTCTTTTTTATATATTTTTTTAAATTTTATTTATTAATTATTATTTTTATTATTATATATTTTTTATTTTATTGTTTTATTTAGTTTATCTCTCCTCACACATTATAACATTAATAATGCTATTCGATCACACCTGATTTGTACTCCCTGTTTTTTTCCATTTCAGAGTTTTACCTTCATAGTAATGCTCACAACAACTAGCATACTAACAGTCTACTTCCTGATTATCGAACCAAAAAAAAAAAAAAAAAGAACTACAAACAGATATTGTGTTTTATTTTGTTTTTGTTTTTTAATCATAACATTGATAAAACTGTTTGATCCCGCCTGATTTGTACTTCCTGTTTCCATTTTCGAGTTTTACCTTCACAGTAATGCGAAGAACAACTAGCATGCTAATCGTGCACTTATTGTTGCTCAAATACAGCGGTTGTGTCAAAACAGCTGAATAGTTTTTGTGTTTTTGTTGTTGTCGTTGCTGGTTTTACCTCTCTGCGCACCGTAACATGAATAAATCAGTTTGATCCCGCCTGATCTGTACTTCCTGTTTTGTCCATTGCAGAGTAACTGTGGAGAGGTGCTGCGGATCAGGCGGGTCCTCATGAATTCTCCGGAGATCGTGTCCATCGGTTTGGTTTGGGATTCGGACCACTCGGATCTGGCGGAGGACGTCATTCACAGTCTGGGAACCTGCTTACGTCTGGGAGATGTAAGTCACGATACAGAAATAGAGTCAACGCTTCACACCAAACAGAAAAAAAGTGCAAATTAAGAAGGATTTAAACGAGAATTATGTAAAGAGGTGTTCATATAAAGACTAAAGAGGACTGGACTGTCTGGACCAGGACTGTGGGTTATAATATCATAACTAGTAGGTCTAAACCAGAACGAATCCAGAACTAAACCAGGTCTAATCTCAGACTAAACCAGGACTAAACCAGGTCTAATCTCAGACTAAACCAGGACTAAACCAGGTCTATTCTCTAAATAAACCAGGACTAAACCAGGTCTAATCCAGGACTAAACCAGGTCTAATCTTGGACTAAACCGGACTAAACCAGGTCTAATCTTGGACTAAACCGGACTAAACCAGGTCTAATCTTGGACTAAACCGGACTAAACCAGGTCTAATCTCAGACTAAACCAGGTCTAAATCAGGTCTAATCTACTAAACCAGGTCTAAACCAGGTCTAATCTCAGACTAAACCAGGACTAAACCAGGTCTAATCTCAGACTAAACCAGGACTAAACCAGGTCTATTCTCGGACTAAACCAGGTCTAATCTCAGACTAAACCAGGTCTATTCTCAGACTAAACCAGGTCTAATCTCAGACTAAACCAGGTCTAATCTCAGACTAAACCAGGTCTAATCTCAGACTAAACCAGGTCTAATCTCGGACTAAACCATCTAATCTCAATTCAACCAGGACTAATCTCGGAATAAACCAAGTCTAATCTCGGACTAAACCAGGTCTATTCTCGAACTAAACCAGGTCTAATCTCGGAGTAAACCAGGACTAAACCAGGTCTAATCTCAGACTAAACCAGGTCTATTCTCAGACTAAACCAGGTCTAATCTCAGACTAAACCAGGTCTAATCTCAGACTAAACCAGGACTAAACCAGGTCTATTCTCGGACTAAACCAGGTCTAATCTCAGACTAAACCAGGACTAATCTCGGAATAAACCAAGTCTAATCTCGGACTAAACCAGGTCTATTCTTGAACTAAACCAGGTCTAATCTCGGAGTAAACCAGGACTAAACCAGGTCTAATCTCAGACTAAACCAGGTCTATTCTCAGACTAAACCAGGTCTAATCTCAGACTAAACCAGGTCTATTCTTGAACTAAACCAGGTCTAATCTCAAACTAATCAATGTTTAATCCAGGTTTAAACCAGTCCAGAACTAAACCAGGTTTTAACCAGGTCTAAACTCAGACTTAGGCAGGTGTAACCCACTATTCCAACTTTTGTTTCATTCACACATGTTTAACACACAAACCCTGCAGATTTAGGCTGAGTTCTTCTCTCAAACTGAAAACACTCTGCTCCACCTTGTGATGTCATGTGGTGATACAGGAAGTGCTCCACAGTGTTTTTAAACACTACACACCTTCACTAGAATTATTTAGATAATTTTAGACCTGGAATTGCCAATTGGTACAGATCTTAAGGTAAAAGGAGCTGCTAACTTGAAAACTACCACTTCATGACATCACAAGGTGGAACAGAGCATTTTGAGCTTTGGAGATGTAAACAGACTGATAATAAAGAGTTACTCCAACGTGTGAATGAAACAAAACACAACCCTCCCTCTTTCTCTCTCCTTCTCTCTCTTGCTCTCTTTCTGTCTCTCTCTCTTTCACCTCCTCCCTCTCTCTCTCCCTCTCACTCGTCTCCCCTTCCTCTCTTCCTCTCTCCCTCCCTCTTTTTTCTCTCCCCCCCACCCTCTCCGTTTCTCTCTCTACCTCATTCACCCAGTTCACCCTCTCCCTCTCTCGCTCCCTCTTTCTCATCCTCCCTTCCATCCATCCATCCTCCCTCCTCTCTCTCTCTCTCTCTCTCTTTACCTCTCTCTCCCACCCTTTTTCTCTCTGCCCATTCTCTCTCTCCCTCCATCTTTCTCTCTCTACCCTTTCTCTCTCTCCTGCCCTCTTCCCCTTTTTACCTCTCTCTCTTGCCCTTTTTCACTTTCTGCCCTCTCTCTCTCTCTCTCTCTCCCTCCCTCCCCCTTCCTTCTTCTCTCTGTACCTCTTTCACCTCCTCCCTCTCTCGCTCCCTCTTTCTCATCCTCCCTTTCCTCTCCCTCCTTCTCTCTCTCTCTCTCCCGCCCTCTTTCTCTCTTTACCTCTCTCTTCCACCCTTTTTCTCTCTGCCCATTCTCTCTCTCCCTCCGTCTTTCTCTCTCTACCCTTTCTCTCTCTCTCTCCTGCCCTCTTCCTCTCTTTACCTCTTTCTCTCTCTCGCCCTTTTTTGCTTTCTGCCCTCTCTCTCTCTCTCTCCTCCATCCCCCTTCTCTCTTCTCTTTCTACCTCTTTCACCTCCTCCCTCTCTCTCCCTCTCACTCATCACCCCTTTCCTCTCTCCCTCCCTCTCTCTCGCTCTCTCCTGCCCTCTTTCTCTCTTTACCTCTCTCTTCCACCCTTTTTCTCTCTGCCCATTCTCTCTCTCCCTCCGTCTTTCTCTCTCTACCCTTTCTCTCTCTCTCTCCTGCCCTCTTCCTCTCTTTACCTCTCTCTCTCACCCTTTTTCGCTTTCTGCCCTCTCTCTCTCTCTCTCTCTCCCTCCCTCCCCCTTCTTCTCTCTCTACCTCTTTCACCTCCTCCTTCTCTCGCTCCTTCTCACTCATTCCCCCTTTCCTCTCTCCCTCTTTCTCATCCTCCCTTTCCTCTCCCTCTTCTCTCTCTCTCTCTCCCCCACCCTCTTTCTCTTTTTATCTCTCTCTCCTGCTCTTTTTCTCTCTCTGCCCTGTCTCTCTCTCTCCTCCATCCCCCTTCTCTCCTCTCTTCCTCTCACTCATCACCCCTTTCCTCTCTCCCTCTCTCTCGCTCCCTCTTTCTCATCCTCCCTTTCCTCTCCCTCCTTCTCTCTCTCTCTCTGTCCCGCCCTCTTTCTCTCTTTACCTCTCTCTCTCACCCTTTTTCGCTTTCTGCCCTCTCTCTCTCTCTCTCCCTCCCTCTTCCTTCTTCTCTCTCTACCTCTTTCACCTCCTCCCTCTCTTGCTCCCTCTTTCTCATCCTCCCTTTCCTCTCCCTCCTTCTCTCTCTCTCTCTCCTGCCCTCTTTCTCTCTTTACCTCTCTCTTCCACCCTTTTTCTCTCTGCCCATTCTCTCTCTCCCTCCGTCTTTCTCTCTCTACCCTTTCTCTCTCTCTCTCCCGCCCTCTTCCTCTCTTTTCCCTCCCCCTTCCTTCTTCTCTCTGTACCTCTTTTACCTCCTCCCTCTCTCGCTCCCTCTCACTCATCCCCCTTTCCTCTCTCCCTCTTTCTCATCCTCCCTTTCCTCTCCCTCTCTTCTCTCTTTATCTCTCTCTCTCCTGCCCTTTTTCTCTCTCTGCCCTGTCTCTCTCTCCTCCATCCCCCTTTCTCTCTTCTCTCTCTACCTCTTTCGCCTCCTCCCTCTCTCTTCCTCTCACTCATCACCCCTTTCTTCTCTCCCTCCTTCTCTCCTCTTTCTCTTTTCTTTAGTCCAGATCTGTTTTTTTTTTTTTATTTATCTGCATTATTATTAAAACACGAGTTCAATTTCAGGAGACTTTCTTCTGTCTTGAATCTCGTCTGTTCGTCTTGACACGTCTGAAGTTCTCGTGTTCAAACTCGTCTCTCCTTTTCTTTTTCGACGGTTAAACTTCACTTTCAAACGTCCTTCGTAAACCTCGTCGTCTTCGGTCTCGTAACTTTAGGTTTAGGAGGTCCCCAACATGGCGTCCGCGGCGCTCGCACCGAGGACTGGACTTTTACTGCACGTGTTCCACATAAACCATAAAAACTGATCACGCGGAAAACCTCTCCACCAGTCCTCCATCTCTCTCTCTCTCTCTCTCTCTCTCTACATCTCTCCATCCTTCTCATGTTTCTTTCTTTCTCTCTTTACTCTTCTTCGTCTTCATGCTCTTTCAGCTCCCCTCTCTCCTCTCTTCTCTCCTCTTTCTGTCTTCCTTACGCTCTCTCTACACCTGCTCTGCTTTACCCTTCTCTCCCTCCATCCCGCTCCTCTCTCTCTCTCTTTCTCTCTCTCTCTTTCTCTCTCTCTCTCTCATCTCTCTTCTCTCTTTCCTTTCCTCCCCTTTCTCTTTAGTTCTCTGCACGTGTTCTCTCATCTCCTCTTTTTTCTCTCTCTCTTTCTCTCTGTGCTGGTGTGTTTCTCTCTCTCTTGTCTTTCGTCTCTCTCTTCTCTTTCGTCTCTGTGCTGGTGTGTTTTCTCTCTCTTCTCTCTCTCTCTCTTTCTCTCTCTCTCTCTGTGCTGGTGTGTTTTCTCTCTCTTCTCTCTCTCTCTCTTTCTCTCTCTCTCTCTGTGCTGGTGTGTTTTCTCTCTCGCTTCTCTTCTCTCCTCTTCTCTTCTCTCTCTTCTCTTCTCTCTCTCTTCTCTCTCTGTGCTGGTGTGTTTTCTCTCTCTCTCGTCTTTCGTCTCTCTCTTCTCTCTCTCTCTCTCTCTACATCACTCCATCCTTCTCATGTTTCTTTTTCTCTCTTTACTCTTCTTCGTCTTCATGCCCTTTCAGCTCCCCTCTCTCCTCTCTTCTCTCCTCTTTCTGTCTTCCTTACGCTCTCTCCACACCTGCTCTGCTTTACCCTTCTCTCCCTCCATCCCGCTCCTCTCTCTCTCTTTCTCTCTCTCTCTTTCTCTCTCTCTCTCTTTCCTTTCCTCCCCTTTCTCTTTAGTTCTCTGCACGTGTTCTCTCATCT